TTATATTTGAGGAGGAAGAATGTAAATTTAAATCATGCTAATTAGTAGAGGTGATAAACAATACCATTGAAATCTACCCAATGTCTTTATAGACATACACAAGTGCCAAGGATTCAAGTGCAACCAATTATGACTAGTAAAAATCAGATACGTACAGATTAGAGATGCAAGTGCCAACATCTCAGTGTTAGCAGCAAAAAAAAATGAGTCTTTCTCCAAGGAACAATATATTCTAAAATGAAATGGAGATCTTTTTTAAAAGTTAAAAACTCATCCAATTTTATGCCTTACAGGGCTTCTACTGAATTCAATAATATATAACTGTATTAATTCAATTATGAACCTAGAAACTTGCACCCACTTGTGAAAGAGATGTACTTTTGCTCTGGAGTGTGTTACTGAATATTTTAAAGCTGTAGTGAAATGCTTCTTCTAATCATGTAGTCATTAAAATTTTTTTTAAATGATTAAAAAATAATTCTTCAAAGAATTAAAAAAAAAAGAAAAAAAGTGATGGAGCAAGCCAGACACAGCAATCCAAGAAGCTGTGTTCCTTCAGACTCTCTGCTTCAGTTCCTGCCTTCAGTTTGCTGCCTTGAGTTCCTGCTGTGGCCTCTCTCAGTGGTGGCTTGCAACCTGTAGGCCAATTAACCTTTTCCTCCCCAATTTGCTTTGGGTTATGGTGTTCTAGTAGAGCTACAGAGAGGCAAACTAGAATCCTGTATAAACTCCTCCCTTTATCTAGTTTATGTTACTTTGGGGGAACTTAACTAGAGGAGGGTAGGGGCTCCCATAATCTCGCTCTACTTATGACTGAAGCTATTTATTATGCCTGAATGAAAAAAAATGAATGATTCTTTGTGAATAGATTGTAATATTTCATTTAGTTGTGCATGGTAATCTTTAAACTACCTGCTCATTAACTAGTCTGACATTACCCTTTCTTTGCAGGGCTGAAACTCAAGTTCAATACGTTTTCACAGATGACACTACAGAAAAATACACATTCATTTTATTTCTTTAGGCAGTTTCAAACCTTCGTTTATGCTTTAACCTCTACTATCAAAAATATTTCAATGATACAAAAATATTCATAGCTAATCAAATTAATTTTATTGATATGGTCTCATTTTCTTAACTGTTTTTCTTTACCTTGCCCTATACTGATCACCGTGACTGTATACTCTCAAGAAAATACAATTTCTTTTATTTCTTTTTCATTTTCAGAATCATATTTGGACATGGGTGAATAAATATGGCTCTGCTTAGGAATATTTCTGAATATAATTGAATTCAATTTGTTATTAAACCTTGTTTCAAATATTGGTATAGGTTTCTTTTAGGAGAAAATTCCAATATACCTAACAATCGATTATAGCATAAATGCACCATGACATATTATTTACAAGCCATAATCAGAGAATGATGGCCTGAGATTCATGAAGCTTGGCCTTTATTTTGTCTTGGCAGAAGATGTTCTGATTTTCTGAGTCAGTTATAGTATAAGTCATGTTATAAGGTCAGTAATATCAATACCTTTTTCTGTAGACAATAAAAATGGCTAATGTGTAGTTTTCATATCTGAATATAACTCAATAGTTAAATGATTTTAATTTTCAACATGAAAATAAGAAAGGCTTTGAAGCAATGCAAACTATATGCAATATGAAGTGCTTTTATAATAATGTAGTCATAACTGCAACTTAGTTTACACCTTAAATGATATTTGAGTATAACAATGATGAATGGGCTCATAAAGTTAAAAGAACATTTAATAAAAATTATGCTAGTAATCTACCAAAATGTTTAATTTAAAAAATATTAAATATAAATTTCATATAAACAGTCTAAGTTAATTTTTCCTGGATATACAAGTTCATTAGGAGTTGACTGTTTTAATTTCTCTTGGCACAATGACTTATCTGCATGTGGATAAAGAAGTTAATTAAATATAAATGTTGGAAAAGTATTCCTGTAATATCCAGTGATGGCAGGTGAAGTAATTGGTTGTTGGCAATATCTGCAAATGAAAGAGAAATGCCTCTGAGACCTAATTAATAAAGGGCTAAGAAAGTTCAAAGTTTGAGTGCAAGCGGGGAGTGTGCTAGCACTTGGTAAAGCTCCAGGGAATGGCATTATCCAAACAAGCCATTTATAAATAAATAATGACTTACTATGGTGAGCCAGGAAATCTTTTCAAACATATAGCTTGATTTTTGAACTAACAGCTACCTGATACTTAAGACATGGAGGAGATATGTCAGACAAGTTGATAGGTGAGAATTTTATTTTTTGAAAAGGAAATTGTGTACTTATAGTACCTCAGGATTACCTGGACCTTCAGAATCATATAATCACCAATAATTCCCATCAATGTAGGTGTGAGTTTCTTCTTCAGCATGCCAAACACTATGAAATACTCTGGCAATTCCACCAATGTAAAATTGAAAGCATTTCCATGTCTTTCTCTTATATTTAAATATATTTAAATTAGTAAAGACATACTACATATGAAGTTTTGTATTCTGATTGTCCCCATTTAAAACAATAATACAAGAGTTTTCCTACTATGGTACACCTATTTTAAAAACATCTCATTTTTGTTTCTTTTTAAAACAGGGTCTCATGTAACCCAGGCTTGTCTAGAACTAGCTATAAGGCAGAGGCTGACCTTGAACTTCTGATACTCCTGCGTTCACTTTCCAAATGCTGGGATTATAGATGTGCATCACCTTGCCAGCATAAAAACTCCTCATTTTGAGTTAAACATCGCTCCAGGTGATACACCATATTTTACTTACCCTTTTCTTTAACATCGGATAATCCATATGGTTTCTAAATTGTCTCAGATCTCTAGTAATTTCCAATAAAATATTTCAGTAGGATGCTTATATTTTAAAAATATTCACTTCAGAATTTATTTCTAGGGTTATCATTGTTAAGTCAAAGAATAAAGAAAAACTGATTTGCTTTTCTTCACAGTAGTCTGTCAGTAATTCTGTCACCTTGCTTGTGTGCACTGTGCTCTTTCCCGATTTATGTAGGAGCTGTTGACAAAGAGTAAGAAATTTGATGAAGCTGCTTCACTTCCTTTTCACATGCAAGAAAATTTCATCCTGTGTAATTAAAGCATAAAGTCCTTCATTAATTTCACTTTAAGATTTTTTTTCTGTATGTAAAATATATTTTGTATAGAAATATGCTTTTATTGTTATTTAATTGGGACATATATTTTTAAATTATAATTTCCATACTCTAGTATTAGTTCAATGTCCTCTATCTATAACTGATGTGTGATGGATGCTATGGGAGAGAGGTGAAGACTTGCGAATGAATGAATTTTGATAACAAATATCAGGAAAGAGTATACTAAAGGCTTTCGATATAGACATATTTATTATCTTCACAAGGATAAACATCCATTAATATACAGTATGCATCTATTTATTGAACGAACATGTAATAAATACTTATGTATTGTGATTGATATATATTTGTACAAAAGCTTTGTCTCACCTAGCAGTCAATTTCTTTCTGTCCTTCATATTAAAGTAATATTTTAAAAACTTTATTTAAACCTTTCTTTTCCTTAATAGATACTCATGTACTTAAAAAAACTATCTAAAATATTCATTTTATTCCAGTCTATCTAAATGGTAAATTAACTTAATGGAGCCATGTTAAATTATATGGGGAATACAACTTTGACAAATACATAATATGTGTTAGCCTAAATTTAATGATCCGGAAAGCAAATAACACTATGTCTTAGAGACATTTTAATACTCTAAAATATATGTCAAAGCTATTTAAATGTACCTTTGATTTCAGAGTTCATTAATACTTCTCAGAAAGTAGCTATTAAATGTACATGAATGGGTGGGTGAAGGTGATTGAGCCCTTTGATATATTGGCTGAGAAGCATGAGTGTTATTGCGTGGAACTGTAGAGAGTATAAAGATCCATCATGAATTCCTTTATCACATATTATGTGGCAGACACTGGAGGAGTTATGTCAGGCAGCATTCTAGACATGGTGAGGACATTAATGTACTTAGCATATGGGTTATGGTAGGTATAAGAAGTACCTCCACCAATTTATACATCTTTTTCCTAATCTGCATGCTTACCCAGACACATAACTTGGCCACCTTTTTAATACTATTTTTTCCTTATTTCTTACATATGTATAATGAAAAATGATCACACCTACCTCCACTTCTCCCTTCCAACTCCATCCAAATGTCCTCCAAAAAAGCCTGTATCAAGTGTGCATTTTATTTTGATAGCATACTAAGTTCAGTTGCTGTGGCCTTATGTGTACAGGTGTGGGGCCATCCATAGGAAGTCTACCAATGGCCACACTCTCGAAAATCAAAGAATGATTCACCCATCTCTAGCAGATATCAACTGTTACTATTGCTCTCAGATGGAGAGCTCTTCCATCTATGCCAGAATTTCAAGTGGATTGATCTTGTGCAGATAACCACAGCTGATGTGAGTTCATGAATGTGATGGTCATTTGACCATGCCTTTTGCTCACAGTTAAAACTGTGTTGTCAGATGTAAATTCCAAAGTAAATATTTTTTATATGTGTGAGCAGTTTGTAGTTTATAAAACACCTCTCAGAGTTCTCAAGTACACAGGAAAGGAAGGGCTCAGAGGTACAGAAAGTACAGGAGGACAACTCGGAAAATACATATGGAGTTGGAAACAGGAGAATTCAAACTTCATACACATACATTTAAAAAAATTTTCTCTGTAATTAAACTGTTGTACATCACAGACAGTATTAGGATCTAAAGAGAGACAGCATCATTGAGGAAGCGGAAAGATAGGGAAGCAAACCGCTAGGTTTAAAAAATACCAAGAACACATTCCAAAGTTACAGCATCTGTTATTCTTGTAGTGTGAAAATATTACAATTCACTCAAGATTAATTGACATGCCTTTTTCTTTTTGTAGGTAATTTAGGCCTGGGGAAGGTGTTGCTTCTTGAATGGAACACCTCATGTCTCCCAATAATGTGACTGAGTTTATTCTCTTAGGATTAACTCAGAATCCACACTGGCAGAAAATACTCTTCGTTGTATTTCTGTTCATTTTCCTGTTTACAGTGCTGGCTAACCTGTTCATTGTAGTCACCATCTCCCTCAGCCCCACCCTTTCGGCTCCCATGTACTTTTTTCTCACTTTCTTGTCCTTCATCGATGCCTTCTACACCTCTGTCACCACCCCCAAAATGATCATTGACCTGCTCTACCAGACGAGAACAATCTCCTTGGGTGGCTGCCTAACTCAGCTCTTTGTGGAGCACTGCCTGGGAGGATCAGAGATCATCCTCCTCATTGTCATGGCCTATGACCGCTATGTGGCCATCTGCAAGCCTCTGCACTACATGACCATCATGCGGCAGGGACTCTGCCGCCTCCTGGTGGTGGTAGCCTGGATTGGAGGGATCCTGCACGCAATCATGCAAATATTTTTCATGATCAACCTGCCCTTCTGTGGTCCCAATGTCATTGACCACTTCATGTGCGATCTCTTCCCACTTTTAAAACTTGCCTGCAGTGACACCCGCAGGCTGGGCGTGGTAGTGGCGGCCAACAGCGGGGCCATGTGCTTGCTTATTTTTACCATGCTGCTCATCTCCTACATGGTCATCCTGAGCTCCTTGAAATCTCACGGCTCTGAAGGACGGCGCAAAGCCCTCTCCACTTGTGGCTCTCACTTTACCGTAGTGGTTCTGTTCTTTGTGCCTTGCATATTTACTTACATGCGCCCTGTGGCAACCTACCCTGTGGACAAACTGGTTACTGTATTCTTTGCAATCCTCACTCCCATGTTAAATCCCATCATTTACACAGCAAGGAACACAGAGGTAAAGAATGCCATGAGGAGTCTGCTGAAGACGAGTGTAACTTAACCTCTTCTTAACAAGAAGGTGGTGATGTGTGTGAACAAGCTGAATGGTGTTTGTGATAAACTGTGGAAGAGAATTAATTTTACCAATCATGGGCAAAGAAAGGATAAGGAAACTCCCCATGACAACATTTATCAGACACTTAATCATTGTAGAGCTTCTGCTCTGTGCTTTGATAGCTTTTGAAGTGTTTTCCAAAGCTCAAGTATCAATGTGCATTGATTCTGGATTTCCAAAAGAAAACAACAATTCTATGGTTTTAACGATTTTAGCTTATTTGCTTTCCAGAGACTCTCTGGTACTTATTTTCATGCATGCATTACTTGAGTGAAATTGTTTTTTTCAAGAATCTTGATCTAAGAATTTTAAACAAATTTGGCATAGGCTATGGTAATGTTAAAGAAAAAAAGGGTCTAGAAGTCCTTAGATGGGTAAATGAAAACTGGAGTTGCAGAAGGAAAGAATCCGTGTTGAATTCCTTTTCTTCATTTTGTCTTTTGTACCATTTTGTAAAAATATAAATAGTAATAAAATAATAAAAACATACAAAAGGAAAAAGTAATTCTTAGTACATCTCCAGGGTTTTTTCCTGGAAAATAAGGAAGAAAAATTTGAAATTACTCTTAATTTGTTCTTACTCTCTTAGATCTCCTCATGTCTCTAACCAAAAAATATTTTTTAAAAAATTATGATGCTTTTACTCCATATGTAAGATTCATATATTCATATTAAACAGAAATTTTATTATCTATCAGACATATTCACTTATGACATGATTTAATGAACGTACTAAACTAATAACTTCCAAAATGCTGTCTGCAACTTACAAAAAAAAAAAAGTACATTAAGGCTGAGTATACTTATGAGCTTTCTGAAGATCAAATCTCTGCTGTAAAATTAAAATACGGGGGTTTCTGATTCAGTCCTACATTCTTCAACTAAACACAGAGGTTTGTGGTATGTTTGGTACCACAATACAGATAAGGATTTGTAGGTATTCTTCATGATTTACTTTGCACTTGAAGAATGATGACTTTTTCTAGCCTACTGTCACCTGCAGCAATGTATTTAACAGCAAAGAGCCTCTGTGCACACGAAAAAACTCCTGTATTTGTACAAACACTTTATGAATCAAAGCTTCTCTCACTGTACAGCTTTAGCTTGTGTGTCTTCTCACAAATATCTTCTTAACTCACTGCTCATCTGGAGTTATTTTTTTAAGGGGGTAAGGTCCATTCTATCTCAAATGTGTGGGTATGTCAAATTATTTTTAATTTCTTTTCTATTGAATTTTGTGAATGACATTTGGAAATCCAAAATTGACTAGTTAAGACAAAATATATATGACAGAGTACATGGAATCAGGTGGAGGGGCATCAAGAGGGGTGCAGTACGGGAGGGGTTTTAAATATAATCAAAATATATTATATGAAACTGCTCAAATTCTTAATGAAAATAGTACTTTGCCATAAAGATCACGCCTAGAAGATGATGTAATCAGTACTTAATGTACTAAAATGCATTCCTGGTGAAAAGTAAATATTTTAACAGGCTGTACAATCAATGAGTTGTAGTTAACTTTGTATTATGATTAGAAGGCAGTTATAGTAAGTGAGAAATGAGTATTAAGAAAGTCTTCAAGACAAAAATGGAAAATTTAAAGGGGAATCTAAGGCCAGTCATTGTGCCCTTAGGTGTAAACAACTTTTTAGTACATGAGTGAAAAGATTAATATAACAAATTATAATGAACTTAGAAGGTAAAGGTAACTAAAGAGATGCAAGCAGGCCAGACGTTCTCATTGGGTAAATTGTTGCTGCTTGTAAACAGTTTTAAGGAATACTTAGGTGTTCTTTAGGACCCCGCATCAATGATTTTCCATAAATGCTGTTGCCCTGTAATTATTTCTAGTCTAAAACTAACAGCTTGATCTAGGGAATACTCCATAAGGAGGGGCAAAAAGATCGCAGGAACTGGAGATTGGGGAGGAATGTTGTGAAACTATGTCTTCTGATGGTGGAACTAGCTGAGAAGAAAGGAGTCAGCATGACTGGGGAGTAGGAACAGACAGTGGAAGGTGAATATGATCACAATGCATTGTATATATGCACGAAATTGTCTAAAATAGGCAAGGAAAATATAACATGAAAAAATTATGTTATTATTACCAGAAATTTCTGGTAGTCCTGACAGAATTATCATGTGGTATCAGGGAAATCCAAATCCCCTCTTGCAACTCTTAGTCTCATTAATAAAATAATTTAAGAACGGACTCAAAGAAATGCTTGAAGACAATTTTATTAGAGTAAAAAAGGATAAAACACAGCATGCCATCTTTAAATTCAGCAGCTATCCAGAGGAGGAGAATGAAGAGAAGAGAAAAAAATAAAGAATGTCATTTGAGTTAAGCAGGCTTAGAGGCCAGTCACTTGGTAGCAGGTAGCCACATGTTGGGAAGGAGGGCTTGAGAGAAGAGAAAGTCTGGCACACAAGAAAAAGAATTCTTAGGTTCTGCCATCATGCAAAAGATAAACAACAAAGGAGGAAAAAGAAAATGTTTTACTTTTCTGATTCATAACTCAAAAAATTGCACAGACCCAACAGATTTTTGTGGTGGCTTTTATGGGCTGTGTGAGGGGACAGGAATTCTGGGAAGTAAATGTGTGTTATCTAATTTAATGTCTAATTATTCTTCCTTTAGCTTTAGCATGACTTAAGGTAAATTAGTCTTCCTGAAGGGTGGTCCTCATCCAAGTCACTGACCATCCCTACAGGAAGAACTCTTAAGGAAAGTGACAATGGCCTAGTTCCACCTAGGTGTGGATTTCATTCTTTTGGCTAAAGGCAACATCATTCCCTTAATGGACCTTTAGTGTTGGTCTAATTTCAAAGTTTTCTTCTAAAAATTCATGAGATATACAATACTGGGTTTTGATGTGTAAGAATTGTTAGCTTATGATAGACATTTACTTAATTGCATGAAAATATTAGACACTGTTCAAGTGAGGGAGTGAACCACTTAATTTTTTTGTTTTATTTATTTATTTTTATGTGCATGAATTTTTTTGCCTATGTGTATGTAAGTGAACTCATGTCATGCAATGCCTGCAGAAGAGGATGAAGGATCCCCTTCTACTGGAGTTATGGAAGTTTATTTGCTGCCATGTGGGTGATGGGAAATGAACCTAGGTCCTCTACAAGAGCATGAAGTGCTCTTAATCTCTGGACTATCCCTCTAGCCTCAAGGCTTGAACCAGATTTAAGGTCAATTATGAAATAAATAAATTGTTACATTCTTTCCTAAGTTTACTCTCATCTCAGGAAGTATTGTTAGATAAGTCTGTGTGCCATTTTGTCTAAGAAAATGAGACTCCAGAAGGTGAAGCAGCATTTCACATTTTGCGAGGTAACAGAATCAAAATACTTCAGATACACAGACATATGATTACAATGAAAAGTGGGGATGGGGGGCTATTGGCATAAGAAAATAACAACTGATACCTGAATTTCACAGTAAGTAAAAGATTTTTGGAGGAAAATTAAGCTATTCAATCATAGGTATGAGTTGACAACACTTTTGGACATGACTAACCTTGTAGAGCTAATATTGTTTCTGTAGGACTTTTCTAACTAATGTACTATAGAGGTGATCTATATTACTTGAAAATAATTATATGTGCACTTAATTTTATGATTTTTGGCTTATTTTGCTTATTGTAAAATACTTCTTAGTGCCTACAACATGTCGGACAATTCTATGGACTGGATATACAATGTTATATAATACAATTGACAGTTATATTTATGTGGAAATTGATTTCCAGTGAGATTGAGTGAGTAATAAATAAATAAGCATATATTATTTTGTTAGTGCTGTATTGCCAATATTAAAGATAGTTTTAAGAGGTGATGGAGAAGAAAAGACCTGAATGTAGTTTATATGTTTTTGAAGCACTGGCAAAAATCTTAGGCTTGAAATGGCAAAACTAGCTCCATTTTTCTCTTCCAGCTGACTTTTGCTTCACCCTGAGTTTTTGCGTAGCCAATTCCACTACAGCCAGTCAGTCAGAATATCTTATTCAGGTAGTTGCAGGGAGTGCATTGTTTCTACAATACTGGGAAACTTACAAATAGCCAGGTAGCATGTTCAGGTAGCAAGTTCTCCTACCCAAACTAATCAAAACTTACTGTTAACAGAAAACCTCTTTGTGAACTCACCTGCCCGTGATCTCATGTAACTATGGTGATCTGACATAACTGTGGTTTTTGGCTTTGCTCCTGGCATGATGTAATTGTGGTTTTAAGCTTTACAATCACTGCCCTGCTTCTCGTCTCTGACTACTGACTCTTAATTCGATCCAAAAGTCTGTCACATACCTTGTTTGGTATTACAGACTCAAATCTCATTTTAATCGGTGCTGTTTTCCTTTCAAGTAGTTTGCAAAAGATGAAGGACATTTTGCCAAGATCCTTATGAAAATATTTAGCATCATTAGCCACCATGGAAATGCAAATTAAAACTACATGGAAATTTACCTCAGACAGGATGATGCCAATAATTAAGCAAAGAAATAACATCAAATGCTGGTTAGAATGTGGACAAAAGTCAACTGTCATACATTGCTTATTAGGATGTTAATCATTCCACCCCGTGTGGAAACAGAATGAAGGTACTAAAAAATCTAGACATAGATCCACCAGATGATCCACCTCTACTTTTCCTGGTGTTTACTCAAAAGACTTCATGTCAATATATCATGAAGGTATTTGGATATCAATGTTCTTTGCAGCATTACTTACAATAACTCACCTGTGGAATATATTTATGTCTATCAAAAGACAAACTGATAGAGATAATGTGGCATACATACAGATTTTACTCAGCCATAAAGAAATAAAATTTGTTGTTCATAAGAAAATGCATGAACTGACAATTATCACATTAAGTGAGTTAAGTTAGACTCATAGAGACAAATGTTTTTTTTTCTTATTTTCAGATCCTA